ACCCAGATTTGGTTCTGATTGGTCAGTTTCTATGCCAGTCAGCGTCTCCAGGCCTATCTCTGGGCCTGATCAGAGAGGCAGGGCTGATCAACAGCCATTCCAGGCTTCTGGCAAGCGGGATGAAGAGCTGATCTCTTGAAGACAGAGAGACATGGCTGCTGCTGAGGCCTGGAGAGAGAGAGAGCAGGGTCTGATTCTTGAGGCTGCAGATCACACCCAGATTCTCTCTCTCTCTCCAGGTTTTGCCAGCAGCCGTGGTAGCCGCTGGTCAGCCCTGCCTCTCTCTCTCCCTGAGAGGTCAGCAGGTCAGCCTGCTCGCCAATCCCCACCCACCGAAGCCTGCTGCTTGCGCAGCCTGGCATTCGTTTGAGCCTTCAGTCATTTTGGACGTTACAGACCCTGGCTCTTTATATATATAGATAATTTTAAAAAAAACAATTTTAAAATGGGAAAAGATCTAAATAGACATTGCTTCTAAGACAATGGTTCTCAACCTTCCTAATGCCGCGACCCTTTAATACAGTTCCTCATGTTGTGTTGACCCCCAACCATAAAATTATTTTTGTTGCTACTTCATAACTGTAATTTTGCTACTGTTATGAATCGTAATGTAAATATCTGATATGCAGGATGTATTTTCATTGTTACAAATTGAACATAATTAAAGCATAGTGATCAATCACAAAAACAATATGTAATTATATATGTGTTTTCCGATGGTCTTAGGTGACCCCTGTGAAAGGGTCGTTCGATCCCCAAAGGGGTTGACACCCACAGGTTGAGAACCGCTGTCCTAAGAGGACATGGAAATAGCCAAGAAACACATGAAAAGATGATCAACACCATTAGCCACAGGGAAATGCAAATCAAAACCACAATGAAATATCAGTTTACACCCACTACATGATTATATAATAAACAAGTCAGATAATAACAAGTGTTGGCGAGAATATGGAGAAACTGGAATCCTCACACACTGCTGGTATCAATATAAAATGGTGCAGCTACTTTGGGAAACAGTCTGTCAGTTCCTCAAAAGGTTAAACATAGAGTTACAGGAAGAGCCAGCAATTCCACTCCTAGGTATACACCTTACAGAAATGAAAATATATGTCCACACAAAAACTTGTACACAGATGTTCATAGCAGCATTAGTTATAATGGCCAAAAAGTAGCCTGGCCGGTGTGGCTCAGTGGTTGAGCATTGTACTATGAACCAGGAGGTCATGGTTTGATTCCCGGGCATACACCCGGGTTGTGGGCTTGATCCCCAATATGGGGTGTGCAGGAGGCAGCCAGTCAATGTTTCTCTCTCATCATTGATGTTTCTATCTCTTCTCTCCCTCTCCTTTCCTCTCTGAAATCAACAAAAAAAATATTTTTTTAAAAATAGCCCAAAAGTAGAAACAACCTGAATGTCCATCAACTGATGAATGAATCAATGTGCTATATCCATACAACAGAACATTACTCAGTGATAAAAAGAGATGAAGGCTCTTTGCTTCATGGCATCACTGAAAGCAAGAGGGTCACCTGAACTCTTCTGGAGCCACCTGCACAAATGAGCCAGGGGTCCCAATCATGCCCCATCAGCTCAAACCAGCAGTCTGATGGAGAAATATGGCCTCAGTATATGCTGCCAGTTTTTCCCGCGGTACATGAAGGACACAGGCTTCAAGTTGGATTGAGTGATTGTCCTTGACTGGATTACCCAAGACATCTACCCAATAAAAGAAGCAATGCTAGCTTTTTATACATAATTGTTTTTATCCCTTTTTAAAAAAGATAGATGAAACACATTGATAGATACATGATACAATATGAAGTCTGAAAATATTATGCAAATCAAAGAAGTAAAAAGAGCCTATTATAGAGATCAAATAGATTAGCAGCTGCCTAGGGCTGGAGGGGATGAGGGTATTAGAGCTAAGAGGTATAAGACTTCTTTGGGAGATTATATTAAAATATTCTAAAACTGATTGTGGTGTTGGTAGCACAACTGCAAATATACTAACAGCCACTCAACTGTGTAAATGGGTGATTTGTAGGTGAGTTTTATCTCAATACGGCTATTTTTAAAACACTGGGATAATAGGTAAATCTTAATATTCATTTTACTATTTAACAATAAATAAATCTCTAGAAAAAGAAAAATCTCTGAGAAAAATTTTTTTCCAAAGTAGAGTGTCTTCAAAACAATGTGCTCCTCCCAAAAATGATAATTACGTGACATGATAGAGGTGTTAGTTAATGCTATAGTGGTAATCATATTGCAAAATGTAAGTATCAAATCAACACATTGTACACCTTAAGCTTAGACAATGCTACACATCCACTGTATCTCAAATTAAGAAAATAAAAACCAGTGTGCTCCCAACTCAAAAGGGGTTTCCAGGAGGAAGCCCCGGTGAGGCGGAGCCAGCGCAGTGACGGAGCAAAGGGCAGCCTGGAGGGGCGACCACTTTGCGGAAGACACGCCGTCCTGGA